GAATGTCATTTCAAGAAATTCTTATGTTTGAAGCGACGACGAAGTGTTTGACGAAGCCATACATCTCTGAGATAGTTAATCGTGCCATAAACCAATTACATTTATAAAACAACAACTTCCATTGAAGTCGGCCAGGTATGAATGTCAGGCCGAAGTCAGAAGTAGCGTTTTATGTTCGAGGGCTTGCTTCAAGAGATAGCTTCTGGGGCTCATTTCGAAGTTAGCAAAGACAGGGATTGCAACATACATGATCCATGAACATCTAAATGTCAGGTTGAGTCACTGACCTAAAATTACCAAGATTAATATTTTGTTGTTAGGAACGTATTCCTAGCGGAGACTTTGATGATTTTTCAAGTGCAAAAGGGTCAGTCTTGTGTATTTGCGTTTGTCATGACTTTATTAAGGTCAGACAAGGTCACTGAACTTATATTGTCTAGATGCAAAGCAGTTGCACGAAAGGGTCTGGGGATACTAATCTGAAGTTCGATCTTGTTGACCTCGTTTGACCACAAAGTCATGACCTAGGAATCTATAATTTTGACACAAGTGATTTCACATATAAGCAGCCCATTCTCTTTGTTTGGTGTTTCCAGCTTTCATACTTTTGATATCACAAGGTGTCAAACTGACCCCCACCCGAGCGAAGGATGCTTAACCGGTCACATCGTCGTGTGTTAAAGATGCGATTTGTGTTTCGTTGTATTCATTTTCGTATCAAAACATCATCATATCAGATGCGTTTTGGCATCGAAGTCATAGGATACTCGCCATGAGTAATACGTTCTTCTAGTTACGATAAATAACGAAATATTATTTCATGTCACACACCATATACTTAACAATGTCCACCATGCACCAATTGTGACGACCGATCAACCCCTCATTTCAGAGGAATGCAGAAGAAAATGTCGCTTCCCCCGTCGATGCAGCACATTGGGAGGTAGCTGTAGCAAAGGATGGTGCTGTATTCGGTGCAAAGGAAAACGTTGCAAGGGTTAACTGCACCAACTACTGTCGGCTGCCGCTGTCATCACGTGATGGATAACGACAGAAGTGATGATGTGTCGCTGCATGCACACGGTATTCCTATTTTATGTTGAAAGCACTTTTGCAAGATCGTGTTCGATTTCCTGCACGTGTTTATGCGAACCGGACAGGCAGCTTCTTACGAGAGGGTGCTATATTGAATACAATTACGGGATCGTGTATTTGTTTACATCTGTTGTGCAAGTTTGAAATGCAAGGCGACAGTTCGCAAAGGGTGGCTATTGAAGCAAGGGATCGCAGAGGACACCAGACTGCAGTCGTCATGTCACAGCAGGCACCAAGAGACATTACAGTCCCAGAGACCCCCGCCCGCGCCGAAGAACCGCGCCTATCCTGTGAGCAGTTACAGTCATGTGGTGTCAATGCTTTGATCGTAAAATAACCTTTTGATTCTCCCGGGCAGCCTATTAGACCGCTAGCCATATGCCAGACTTGTGCCACAGTTTTCAACGTCTTAAGCTGTCGTCGAAATGAGCATGAGATTGTGGTGACCCCATGTGTTCTAGCACGTCAGAGCTATGCAGGGTTTCAACTGTGAGCAGGTATTGATACCACTGATGTTATATATAACCCACTGATGCGTATTAGGTCAAAGGTGTTACGAACTCGACGAAAAGGGCGGGAAATGGAAACCAGTTGTCCGTCGCTTGCGTGAAGCCCTCGCAAGCGTCTCCGGTGCCTCCTTGGGCGGTGACACCTTCAGCACTGTCCAGCCGTTGCTGAGCAAGTGTGTTACCAGGGTGACGTGGTTTTAATCTTATGCACTGCGAAACTCCCGCTAAAGCGGAGGGCTGCCTGTGAGATGGTCATCTACTCTTGTCGTGCATCGCGTCGATAGCTGGCACGTCAGTCCTGGCTTTATCCGATGCGTCGATAGCTCACACTTCAGTCCTTCCTTTACCTGATGCGTCGATAGCTCACACGTTAGTCCTGCCTTTACCTGATGCGTCGATAGCTCACACTTCATTCCTACCTTTACCTGATGTGTCGGTAGCTCACACGTCAGTCCTGCCTTTACCTGATGCGTCGATAGCTCACACGTCAGTCCGGCCTTTGCCTGATGCGTCAATAGCTCACACTTCATTCCTACCTTTACCTGATGCGTCGATAGCTCACACTTCATTCCTACCTTTACCTGATGTGTCGGTAGCTCACACGTCAGTCCGGCCTTTACCTGATGCGTCGATAGCTCACACGTCAGTCCTGGGCTTTATCCGATGCGTCGATAGCTCACACGTCAGTCCTGGGCTTTATCCGATGCGTCGATAGCTCATACGTCAGTCCGGCCTTTACCTGATGCTTCGATGGCTCACACGTCAGTCCTGCCTTTGCCTGATGCGTCGATAGCTCCCACTTCATTCCTACCTTCACCTGATGTCGATGTTTACCTGATGTTTACCTGATGTCTGTCGATTGGTATGCTGCTCCATTGCATTGGTAATCACTTAGCTTTCTTTCCAATTTGGCATTAGTGTTCATTTGGTGCGCTGAATCCACCAAACGTAGCTTCAGCTCCGCGTGATATGCGGATCACGACCAACATAGCCCTAGGTAGTTCATCGGGCTCGACGCTACGTTGATATGCGCCGACCCCCGTAGCACCAGCACAGCTACAAATGTAATGTGAATGTTACAACGTCATGTCTGGTTGATCCTGCAGTGTAACAATAAAGCACAGGCAACGAGCCTCGGCAGCCGGTTCCGAGCGAGCCCCGTTGTTACTGTCATTGTATACTAGGCGTCCAATGTCAGCCCGTGGCGGCATGCAAGTGAGCCAACTTGCACCAACATGCATTCACGGACGACAGGTGTCAAAGAGCCTGGGTACAGGAGATAAACGCTTTTCAGTCGAACGGCGGTTTGCGCTCGAGATTATTGCATACAAATACAAATACAATACAAATCAATACAAATCAGGATGATTGGTCACAATATCAACCCTGCCTGGTCAACGGGTTGCAGAATATGGCTCGAAATGTTTTCAGGTCTTGGCTGAGTACTGGATATGCCGTGAGTGAGTAGCAGCAACAAATTACCGAACATGTCATCTCCATCTCTCGGTAAAGGTAATGGGCGTTCACAGGCCACTGCACGCTTGTGGATGTGCTTGAATATGTCAATAATTTTGTCGAGACGTTGAGCAGAACCATAGAAACACTGAGTCAGTGTTATGATGCTGTTGAGGAACAGCCTGCCGTTGTTTAAGAAAGTAAAGCACTGTTGCGCGTCATGACACCAAGTACCTGTGATTTTATCCAAAACTTATTCCTGAGACCTTCAAGATACCTCCCAAGGAAAACACTGCGATATGTTCCAGTACTGCATTTGTACATATGCATACATATAGTTAGTTATACCTTTATATTAAATTTTTTATACATCTCTCTCTCTCTCTCTCTCTCTCTCTCTCTCTCTCTCTCTCTCTCTCTCTCTCGCTCTCTCTCTCCTCTCCTCTCTCTCTCTCTCTCTCTCTCTCTCTCTCTTTCTCTCTCTCTCTAATACGACCGCTACGCAGACGATAGCTATGTGGAAGTTAGAGACATTGACCGACTAGGACGTCTCAAAAGCACCTTTGAAGGACAGTCTGGCTTAAAATTACGAAAGAACGAAGTGTGCAAAAACATAAAACACTTTCTGACGTGACTCTTGATGGACAAGCACAGCGATTCCCAACGACTGCATACCGAAAACAGAATAACAACGAACGGTGCTTAAATGCTGACAGTGAGTGTCCTCGACGCTGTAACATTAGCGTAATAAGGTTCTTCATTAGACGCGCATTTAATCACTGCTCGATTGGACAGGACTATACTCATAATTGATAGGAATCAGATAGATCTTCGTGAACGACGGTTTTTCAAGTTCTGACGTTGAAAACGAAATGCAACGACAAATGACAAGACACTTCGATAGAAAACCAAGACAAGACATCCAACCAACCATCAACCTGTACTATCAAAACCAAATGACGTCTGCCCTCAAACAAGACAAAAAATATTTACGGGAAATTATCTCTCGACATGGTAAAGGCAAAAACGACCACAAAATAGGCATGGCTATTTATTAATGTGGTAAGAAAATATCTAACTCTTGTGACAAACGGCCCAGACAAACCCGACAAACTAAAATTCACCAATGCAGTGCATCAATTCAAATGCAACATCGAAGGCTGCAAACTTCGTTCCATACCTTACATTGGTGTGACTACAACGACACTCTCACGACGCGTGACAACGCACTTACATGACGGGGCACCTCTGGACCACATGCGACACGAAGACGACGGGACATTGACACGAACGCAACTGACAGACAACACTGACATTCTTTGGACGTGCAATGACAGAAGACGCCTTCAAGCTTGGGAAAATATTTAAATTAACGAACCCTTTGCAGCCCTAAACATACAAACAAATTCTTGCACAAATCTTGAGCTATTAGGTGGTTGGTGGTGAGCACTATTGATGTGATTATGGCAATAGTATTCTCATTCTGTCTTTGTAGTGTTCCCGTTATGAGTGCATCTGACCTGTATCAGGGTGAAAAACGGATTCCGTTTAACTTCAGTTAGTTATGCTTCATTATGTTCTCCGTACCCAAAAAATGTGTCCCATTAGTAGTGCACACCGTGCAACATCCTAATTCAACGAGGTGAGTAACGCAACGCTTGATCACAATCGGTCAGTACGTTCCATGTACATACATCCCGAATGCGTTGCATGGGCCATGTCGGCATTGTCCTCTACGCCCTTCCCTGTGTGACTAAGCACTACTCCGTGCACCATTGGCACGTTCGTACACAAGGGTTGCGGTTGATGATATCACCTTGTTCTTGTAAATGTCGCCGTACATCACAGGCCAGTTCGCTGACCTTTAGAGGGGACGGGATGATTGACGCCCCCTCCGCCTCATGGTTCGTTTTTGCCAGTATAAAAAGCGACCAAAGGCAGCATGGGCATATCCTTTTGAGTCGTCTCTCACCAACAATGCGACTGCTGCCATTGATTGTCGTGCTTTGTGTGGTGTTGGTGACCACTGAAGGTGAGTTACTAGTGTTTTTCTTGGCAATGTCCTCTTGTGTTGGTCGCGGCTATTGGGCAATGGAAGTATATGACAGATATGACAATAAAAAGCTCCATAAAGAGACCATGAAAGTATTCTGTGTTAGCCGGGGCGTGTAGCACCATACGGAGAGTTCTTGGTCCTCGTTCTGTAAAGGTGAAAAACTGTCGCAAAATCCGTTGCAAAAATGAAGACCCTCAGGGACTTTAGGAAGTGTGTGACCATTAAAGAAGATTTCAAAGTCACGCTGTGGTGAACAATGGGGATGGACCCTATGTAATGATTATGGTTGTACTTCGGGCAGCCAAGTAGAGATATTTGTGTGTGGCATATATCGGATGTGAATAATTTATTGTAAGTCATTCCATCATACTGCACTGCCGATTTCCACCTTTATCACCGAACTTCCGTGGTTGCCAAAGCAGATACCACTGGTAGGTGGGAGCGACAGAGACAGCATGTCCCCAAAAATAGCTGATGGGCCTTCTACCCCGCCTTCATATGTTCTGTGAGACCTATGGTGCAGACGTCTGCGCGAGAAAAACTGTCAGCTTTATGTCTCACTTCCTCACGTTTCTACGTCGACTTTTCTTTTTACCATGGTAAAGCTGGTGTGCCAATGATAGGACTATTTTGTAGCAAACAGTCTCGCAAACTGTGATCTGACTATGAATCTAGGCAAACTATCCAGCTGATAAAATACCCCGTCTGAAGCTAGTACTCGTAGTAGCAGCTGCTATATTGAGCAGAATCGTTCTGGTCGACTGACCATCCCAAAATGAATCGACATACCAGCACCACCGGGATGTGCACCAACCGGGTGGTGCGAAATCAACCGGATTAGTAATCTTGTTAAACCGGGCGTGTCTAACTTAGACATAAGTAAAAATGCAAAAAGGTAAAGTGATCCCATTCAGTCCCTCGCGGGGATGTGTTCGTGAGGTATTCGGGGGGCAATCACACCTCAACCAGCCCAGGAGAATCATGTATTCCTTGTGGGCAGTCACGATTGTCTGTCTGATTGGTGTCAAAGCTTTGATCGAGCCTTTTTTACTGAGATCGTAAAGAGCCCTTTGGGTTCCTTCAGTAACGCATTAGGCCGCTAGCCACATGCCAGATCTGTACCTCAACTGTCAGCACTTTAGACCGTCGTGCATACAGACATTGCGTCGTGCTAAATGACTCCTTCAGTTCTAACACGTCAAAAGTGTGGCAGGCTTCAACCGTAAACAGAGTTAACCAACCGGTGCGTTGCAGGTGGTAGGTGTCGCAAATTCGGCAAGGCGTGTGGAAAATGGAACAGGGATGTCTGCCGCTGGTGCTGGAGACCTCACAAGCGTCTCTGCTGTCTTCCGGGCGACACATACGGTGCGTTCCAGTCGTTGTCGCCTGGTGCTGAGCAAACGTTGTCGCCATGGTGATGTGTGACGCTATGAACTACGGAACTTCAGCCCAAACTAGGGGTCGTTAGTAACATGTTCATGAACTGTTGTCATGCATCACATCAATAGCTTACATGTAAGGTCATCTCTTACGAGATGTGCTATTTAGTTCTAGCATACGCTCGGGTGTGTGTGAAGTTGCCCGGATGTTTTTTTTCAAAATTGATTGCGAACGGCGCGGCGTGGTCACACAGAACTTTGCATAGCCGTAAAAATTTAAAGGCTGGATCTTTTGCTATGCAAGATTTAGGCGTACTTTGCGAGGTCACTGACCTATTGCAGGCCAAAATCAGGCCGTGGCTCTCAGCGAATGCCATTTCTAGAATTGGTGCATTTCTGAACCACTGTGGATTTGTGCTACTCGAAACCCCAGCTGAAGCGGAGGTTTACCGTGAGATACTTGTCAACTCATGTCATACATGGCGTCGATCGCTCGCCCATCAGGCTTTCTCTCATGAAAGGCGTTCTTCAGGTTTCTTAGAGATGCAATATGCATTTCGAGCATTGCATTTGCTCACGTTAGCAGCGATTTTTTAGTCATAGGATAGTTGTCATAGATGGCATGCTTCTACATTCAAATTGGCTGACGTTATGTTCGTCGAAGCTACAACAACCTGCTGCAGAGGATTTAACATCCACAAATCCCTGCAAGCGACCGTTCTCTAATTTCAGGTGAGTGCGGGAGAAAATGCAGTTTCCCAAATACCTGCAGCACACTAAACGGCAACTGTCACAAAGGATGGTGCTGCGTATACTGCAAAGGAAAACATTGCAAGAATGGCTAGCTGCACCACTTGCTGCCGGCTGCCGCTGTCGTCAAGGGATGGATAACGACTGCACTGACGCCAGATGTGAAGTGACTGCATGCACAAGGAAGACCCATGCTATGTTGGTGGTGTAACAGCAAAGTCGTACGTAATTCTTAACAGGTGTTTATGCGAACCGGACATTTAGCTGCTTGTAGTTGGGCTTTACGTTGAATGCAATTACGGAACCAACTATTTGTTAGCATCTGTTGTGCCAGCTCAAGATGCATCGGCGCCGGTCCGTAAAGCATGGGTATTGTGGCGGGCAGTGCGAACGACACCTGGTCATCTGACAAACGTGTACTCGACGTCCTCAGGTACAAAGTAGGTCATTTTCAGGTTGACAAAATGCCCATATCAGCGTCTCATGGATCGACAGGTCCAGACGCAGACTTCTTTCCCGCTTAAGGTATGGAACTCGAGGCATGTAATTCGTTGAAATTGAAAACATTGAAAACTGCAGCACTCAGAACATGGACGTTTTCTGCGGCGATCGCCTGCTCTTCGATCTCCTGAACTGCGACATTCCGAGCACTGATTTCTCTAATCCAAAGTCTCTTAACTTTGACCTTGTACCAGACTTTTGACATTGTATCGGCCGAAAAGGCCTCGAACACCTGAACGTAGGCCACCTTAGCGCCGAATATTTCAACATCGACCTTTTGTGTCTCGGTTTCCCGAGCTTCTCAGGTCTGGACCTTGGCCTTCTGAGCACGACCTCCAGATTCTTGAGCCAACCTTGAAGAAAATCGTAGGAAAGCCTAAATAGTTGAGTTTTTCATGGCCCCTAACTGTTGCCTGGAAAATTTGGGCATTTTTTTTGCATCTGTACAGTTTTGTTCACTGGTGCTTCCATTTAACAGAAAACCCGGCATATTTTCCTCGTTAAGTAAGTAACAAGTTCGATTATCAAGGCTTTCGGTGAGGTTTTCGCTCCATGCATATCGATTTTACATCAGATTCCTTCAGCCAGATTAATGAGCATGGGTTGATGACTAGATGAGTCAACTTCGAAGAAAAACATAAGGGCCACCTTATAGCTATGATTGCTTCCAACTATTTCAACCTACCTCTTGACAAGATGCGTGATGATCGTTTTCACATTTCATTTCCATCGTTTGTGTTGGGGTTTATCAGTGTTTTCATTTGATATGCAGCGCGGCCTACGCATGCTGTAACGCCGTTACACAAGCGAAACATTCTCTTAGATAGTTTTCCTACGTGATTTCGCCGTCCTAAAGATGGTCCATATGGTTTCTGCAGCCATCAAAATGAGCATCGGTCGACGGTCTAATAAATTGTTACAAAAAAGCCCACGGGCAGCAGCATAGACAAAACGTTTTGCGGATCGTGTACAACTTCCACTCTAGGCAAGGTAGGTCATATTATTAAGCATCGCTGCCTTGGCATCAACAGGAGTTCCCTCGAGATGATGCAGCTGGCTAGAATTTTGACTTCCTCGGGGAGATATTTGCCCGTAAAGTGCACGAATGGTGCCAAATCTAGGCTGAATTTGGGGTAAGATACGTTACAATATTGTTCCAGGGAATAAATTGACAGGATATTGCTGCTAATTTAAGTATCATTCATAACTGAGTATGCAACGCTGGGCATTTAACGTATAAGCTGTCTGCTGGATGTCACCCTATAGAATGCAATTTCCTAACAAACAGAAGTGTTCCACATTGCTGTTTTGGCCTGAACTAGCTATCTTGAGGACCTTTCGATACTGTTCACAATCCTGCCCTTTTTAAGACATGACACACACGCCGGATGATTAAGACACATACGCTGGATGATTTTTAATGTACTTGAGCCAGGTATATGGAGAGCGGAAAGTTTGAAGAAATGTTACCAAGTTGTGCTAAACACAACCTTGCACCAAACTACGCATCGAGCTTAAACAATGCCTCCGAAAGCAGGAGTGCCTTTCGAAAAGAGCCGCTGTGTTAGACGCTACAGGTGAGAAATCAACACCATAGTACGACCTTTCATGTAATTCCTATGCCAACGCCCACATCCTCGAATACATCAGTCCCTTAACACGCGCTCGGGTGGGAGGGGTCAAATTGACCCCCTCCCCGAAAATTTTTCCCGAATGGTTCCCAACAATTCCCGGTCCCTGATCCGTAAAGATGAAAACTGTTGCAAAACAAGCTGCAAAAGTGAAGCCAGCAAGAGGAGTCTTTCTAGGGTGGCAAGGAACCCTCAAAGGGGAAGTTAAGTGGTCAGGCAGTGTATCGGATCCTTTCTTTGTACATGATGGTATGCGTCAAGGGGGTAACGTCTTACCACTGCTGTTCAATGTGTACATAGTTTAGCCTCTTTGTGAGTTGCAAATGTTACCAATCGGTTGTTATGTGGTGAAATGTACAGCGAATGAACTAGTCTCTGCTGTTGACAGGGTGCTTTTATCTACCACGAGGAGAGGGCCTGGAGCGTTGGCTCGGATACGCAAAGGATTTGCCATGCGCAGAAATATTCAAATCAATAAAGAAAGCTGTGCATGTATTTCAACTCTCAAAGATCATATACAGTGCCACACCTGTCTAACTCAAGCTCCCCAACATCATTGTTAATGAATACATAATAGCATGAGCGGAGGAGCTTAAACATAGGCCTTTTAGTGGCCAGTTCTCCCAGTGGCAGTCATGTTATGCGAAGAGTTTAAGTGTCCTTGTATAACGGCAGAAAACTTTGATCTAACTGTTCCAAGCATATTATACCAGCGTGTATATTGTGAACTGTGCAACACTGTGAATGGAAAGAAAGGATTTCGAGAACGCTGTATGGCCTACCACTTATATAAAGAGAAGCTGGTAAGGGTGCCGCGGTGGACAAGGATTCATTATCTGTGTAAAAAGCTTGAACCTCTACCTATGGATATCTGGGAACAGCTTCTATGGATATGTGGGAAACGATCTCACCTTAAGCAGTGCTTGTTGTGCGAGCTCTGACCCCTGCCATCCGATCGCGCGATTCCACGCAACGGCAGAATTTCATGGCGTACGTTTAACGTGCCGCAATGCTCGGCACGGTCCGTCCTGCCCTCTGACGTCATCTGACCTTTATCGCGGCCGCTGCCACCGGCCGCAGGCAATACCTGACAAGGACAAATAGAGAGCGCTCAAAACGACGCGAACGCACCCCGGCATGGGTGGCAGAATCGGAAGATAGGAGCTCTGACCAACTGAACGAACGGGACGGGAAAGTCTTGTCCCAGGTTAGCACCTATATAGTAGCTGGAGTTCAACCAAATACTCGTGTCCGTTGAGAACAGCATTGTTGAGGCATTGCACGTAAGCAAAGTAGAGTTAGTGGGGTCATTGCCAGGACATGTGCGCATGCGAGACATGCATATAATTTTATGGCATCGAACCTCCCGGCAGTCAGCAGGTCACATGTTCGGGACATCTTTTCGCCCACCTGGGTCGGTTTGTCCGTGATCACCACCAAATGCACCAAGTAGGTCATGACCCAGAATAATGTCCTCCGACCTTTCAGGCAAGTACTGACTGCGTTGCCTTCTGCCTTGATTTATGCTTGTGAGTGTGCTACGTTTGTCCTTTATGTGCGAAGATAGGTACCAGTCTGATGGTGGAAAAAGAACTGGATTATTGATATCATTATTGCTATTAAACCAGACGTCTCTGATCTACCTCTCCGCAAAAGGTGCAAAAAGGTAAGATGATCCATTTGAAACCCCCAAGGGGCGTGGGCATCAGGTATCGAGGCGGTATTCGCCCCCGAACGTACCCAGGAGAATCACGCTCCTGTGAGCAGTCACGATCATATGGTGTCAAATCTTTGATGGTAAAATAGCCTTTTGGTTCTCTGGAGCAATGTATACTCATATGCCAAATCTACGTCACAATTTCCAGAATTTCAGACCGTCATGCAAACAGAAGTTATATCGTACTGAGTGACTCCATGAGTTCAAGGACGCTTAAGTCCTGGCAGGTTTCAGTCGTATTGGGAAGTAACCAACTCATGCATTGCAGGTCGAAAATGTTACAAATTCGGCCAGGCGTGCGGTACATGGAACAGGGATGTCTGCCGCTGGTGCCGGAAACCTCACAAGCGTCTCTGCTGTCGCTCGGGCGACACCTTCGGTACGTTCCAGCCGTTGCCACCTGGTGCAGAGCAAACGTGTCGCCATGGTGATGTAGTTGTGACGCTATGGAGTACGAAACTTCAGTTCAGATTAAGGGCTGTTAATAACATGTTCATGAACTGCTGTCATGCACTGCATCGATAGCTCACAATGTAAGGTCTTACCTTAGGAGACGTGCTATTCGTCTTAACACACGCTCGGGTGTGGGTGAAGTTGACCCCGATTGTTTTTTTTAATGGATTGCGAACGGTGCGACGTAGTGACGCCCAACCTTGCATAGCCGAAGACAATTAACTGCTGGATCTTTTAGTGTACCAAAATTAAATGTACCTTGTGACGTCGCTGAGCTATTGCAGGTAAAATCAGGCCGTGGCTATCAGCGAAGGCCATTTCGAGGAAATCGTTCATTTGTTAACTTTATAAACACAACTTGCATTGAACGAGGCCAGATATAAAGATAATACCAAGGCCAAGACCAAACTTTTTTATTCGAGGGCTTGCTTGCTGAGGTGGTTTTTGGCGCTCATTTTGAACTTAACAATGATTGGACATACATGATCCATGGACGTACAAAAGGTCAGATTAGTTCACTGACCTAAAATGACGAAAATTGATATTTTGCTTGTATAAACGTACTGCCTTGCTGCATTTCTGGGGCTTTTCTATGCCCGAAAGGGAATCAATCTTCTAGATTTTTTATCACTGTGACCTTCATGTGGTCAAACAAGGTCACCAACCTTAAATTGGCTGGACGCACGGCGGTTGCATGAAGGGGTCTGGAGACAATAACCTGGAGCTTGACCTTGTTTGACCTCGTTTGACCACAAGTATGTGACGTAAGAAAGCAAAATTTTGACACAAGTGAGTCCGTATACAAACAACTCACTCTGTCAATATAGTGCCTCTAGTTCTCATATTGTTCTGAGATGGCAGCGGGTCAAATCGACCACCACCCGAGCGAAGGGTATTTAACCGACCACCGCGGCGTTAAAGATGGGTGTTAACGAATGTTCAAGATGCCATTAGCGTTTGGACTGTGTTCATTTTCAGATCATAGCATGCCCATATCAGATGCGTTTTCGCGTCGAGAGCATAGGAAAATTGCTATGAATAATACGTGCTCATTTTTACGATAAATGACGAAATATTTGTTGACGTTGCACACCATTTATTTTGTAATATCCACCATGCACCCATTGTGACAACCGATCACTCTCTCATTTCAGAGGAATGCAAAGCAAAATGCCACTACCCATATCAATGCCGCACATTAGGAGGAACGTGTACCAAAGGATGGTGCTGTCCTCTGTACTATCCGTAGACGGCCGCCACGTCGAAGACACCGATGTTTCAGGTGAACTATATTTCATGACCGCCCATCGCCAACACCGCGCCTCAACTCCTCGTAGACGCTGACAGGGAAACAACGAAACCCCGGAAATGGACAGACTAGAGCTGGAACTTAACAGAGCGGAAACAGACCGAACAGAGACTACAATTAACAATACAAAATGAATACGAAAATAGCGTGGATTAACTAACACTTAATGAGACCTTGAGATAATAGCAAACTAAGTGACTCAGCAAACGAGAAGCGAGCACTAATTCAAACTAGAAATGCAAACGGTACACCGACTATATTTCGAAGCCATTGATAGACGGGTAAGCTGTACCGGCAAGTACCGGCTGCCAATGTCGTCAAGGGATGGATGAAAACTATAATGATGTTGATACATGCGTACGATAATCTGTCACTGCATGCACATCTAATTCATGTTTTATGTTGTTGGCAGTTAGACGAGGCCATATGCGATTCTTTGCACATGTTTAAGTAAACCGCACAATCAGCTTCTTGTGAAAGAGCGTTGCATGAAATACAACTACGGCGTCGTGTATATATTTGCACGTGTTGCACCAGTTGAAGACATCGAGGCGACGGCTCGCAAAAGGTGACCGTGGAAGCACGGTATCGCGGAGAACGCCATACTGCAGTAGTCTTCCCGCAACAAGTACCTAACGAGATGCTATCAAGAATAGAACATTTTGGGGTTGGTTTTTCTTGGCGGTGGTATCCAGATTTGCATAGTTTGCATCTCAAATGGGAGTGTCCACGCCAGGACCGGAAGACCCAGCTACAAACTCCCCGGTCTCTAAAGACCAGGTCTCCATCACACATCTTCCGGGGCACCGCAAGTATTCTGAGCTCCAACAATCCCAGCAGCAACCTTTATAGCGATGACCGTTCGTACATCAATCTTTACGCCGCCGTGCATCGGTCTTTGTGCCGCCGTAATAGGGTAGGTGCATGCTGCGAACATCAGCTTTTTATTGTCCATTGTCTGTGCCTCGATCTCCTGAACAGCGGGGGAGATTGTCTATAACTTTTCTCCCAGACAACGTAGGTGATATTTTTGTGTGCCTTTGACGGGGTCAAAGAGAGTGTTCAGACGATCATGCACCTAGCTTGGAATTCGGTGCACGTAATCCGTTGAAATTACAAACATTGAAAACTGCAGCACTCAGAACATGGACGTTTTCCGCGGCTATCGCCAGCTCCTGGATCTCCTAAACCGCGACATTCTGAGCATTGATTTCTCGAATCCAAACTCTCTTAACTTTGACATTGTACCAGACCTTTGACATTGTATCGGCCGAAAGGGCCTCGAACACCTGAACGTAGGCCAACTTAGCGCCGAATATTTCAACATCGACCTTCTGTGTCTCGGCTTCCCGAGTTCTCAGGTCTGGACCTTGGCCTTCTGAGCATAACCTCCGGATCCCTGAGCCAACCTTCAAGAAAATCGCAGGAAAGCCTAAAGATTTGAGTTTTTATGGTCTCTAACTTTGCCTGGAAAATTTGGGCATTATTTGCATCTGTGCAGTTTTGTTCACTGGTGCTTCCATTTAACAGAAAACTAGGCATATTTTTCTCGTTAGGTAAGCAACAAGTTCGATTATCAAGGCTTTCGGGGAAATTTTCGCTCCCTGAATATCGATTTTCCATCAGATTCCTTCACCCAGACTAATGAGCATGGGTTGATAACTAGATGAGTCAACTTCGAAGAAAAACGTAAGGGCCACCCTATAGCCATCATTTCGTCCAACCATTTCAACCTACCTCTTCACAAGATGCGTGATGATCATTTTCACATTCCATTTCCATCGTTTGTCTTGGGGTATATTAGTGTTTTCATTTGATATGCAGCGCGTCCTACGCATGCTGTAACGCCGTTACACAAGCGAAACATTCTCTTAGATAGTTTTCCTACGTGATTTCGCCGTTCTAAAGATGGTCCATATGGTTTCTGCAGCCATCAAAACGAGCATCGGTCGACGGTCTAATAAATTGCTATAAAAAAGCCCACAGGCAGCCCCATAGACAAAACGTTTTGCAGATCGTGTACATCTTCCACTCTTCTTCCACTCTAGGTAAGGTAGGTCATATTTGTAGGCATCGCTGCCTTTGCATCAACAGGAGTTTCCACGAGATGATGCAGCTGGCCAGAATTTTGACTTCCTCGGGGAGATATTGGTCCGTAAAGTGCATGAATGGTGCCAAATCTAGGCTGAATCTGGAGTAAGATACGCTGCAATATTGTTCCAGGCTATAAATTGATAGGATAATACGGGCAATTTATGTATCGTTCATAACTAAGTATACAACGCTGAGCATTTGACGTAAAAGCTGTCTACTGGATGTCACTCTATATAATCCAATTTCATAACAAACAGAAGTGTTCCACATTGCTGTTTTGACCTGAACTAGCTATCTTGAGGACCTTTCGATACTGTTCACAATCCTGCCCTTTTTAAGACATTAGCCTCTCTAGTTTCAGAGCTATACGCCCACGACAGTGGGAAAGCTGCATCGGCAGAGTATTTCAAGGTCATCTTGGTATCCATGACGTAGCCTTGTCGTCATTCAAATTCTGTCATTCCATAAGCCATGCAGTGATTAATACGCGCACGGGTGACCGGTTGGACACCCTTCGCTCGGGTGGGAGTCAGTTTGACCCTGTGAGATCCCAGGAACTAAGAGAGAACTAAGGTCAATACTCACAGGGTGTATTGACCTATACGTGAACTCACTTAGATTAAATATTGAGGCTCCTAGGTCATGAACTTTGAGTGAAATCGGGTCAAGCAATGTCAAATTCCAGGGTAGTCTCCAAAGGGCTCCTAGAATATAGATAACTGTTCTAAGCAAAACCTCACATACCCATTTCACGTCAGTGACCTTGTTTGACATTTTGAAGATCATAGTGACCAAAATCATACAAGACCGCCTTAACTTTTGCATTGGGATAAACGACAAAGATTGCGCTAGGCATATGTTCCTAAAAACAAAATGCCAACCTGGGTCATTCTAGGTCACTGACATATTCAGACCTTACGGAAGTACATGGAAGGTGTATAATACGGTTCCAGTTATCAATAAATTCGAAATAAGCACCAGGAACTACCCCATACAGCAAACGCTAGAGTAATAAAACATGTTGTGATTGACCATTGTCTGACCCTCATACCTGACCTTAGGTCAGTGTAATTTGTTCATTCAATAGCTGTGTTGGCTAAGAAAGCATCTTAGAGATGTATGGCTTCGTCTAACACTCTAACGTTGTTGGATAAGGTTGAACGATTCCTTCGAAATTGCCTTCGCTGAAACCATGGCCTTACTTTGACCCACCATAGGTCAGCGACCTTGCAAGGACATCTAAACGTTTGATCCCCGACGATCCGCTATTCAATTTTCTACAGCTATGCAAAATTTGACGCGACTACGCCGCGTCGTTCGGAAATCATTCCACAAAAACATTCGGGGGAGGGGTCAATTTCCCTCCCCCCCCCGAGCGTATGTTAAAGCCAAACAAATCTTATTGTCGGGGAGTTCATATCTGACATTCGGGAGCGCGATTTCCAGATGTAACAGCCGTCAATTGGCTCCCAATCGATGTTGTGCAAGGTGCGATCACGTAATCGAACTATGACGCATTGAGGAGCATATTTACTACACAAAGCATTATGTTGTCTACAACAGTCTTTTCCACTCAAGAGGCATATTAACAGTTATAAGTGAGCTTAGGTCATCATATCTAGCGCTTGCTTTAATATTTTCAAATGTAGAGCATTCTATTTCAAGCGTATCTTGTTTAGTTTAAACCCGACCGAACTCGTATTTGCGCCATGCCTCACATGTTGATTCAACGTCCGAATCGCTCACAACAAATGCGGCTCTCTGTCTGGCTCAGCTCCATGGAAGCGTCACCAAAGATCACGGAAAAGAAATTCCTAAATCGCATCGCAACCTTAATGCCTTCAAACTTGATTATTCAATGTGAGTAAAGCACCGGTTTATGGTATGGGAACACGCTGCGTGTACACACATTCTGAACGCCCTCGATATGCCATGTCGGCATCGTCCTCTGCATTCTGCCCGGTATGACTGAGCAGTGCTCCGTCTGCCATCGCCACGCTCGCAAACATAGGCTGCGGTTAAGGATTTCACATCGTCAATGCAAATGTCATCGAACATTTTAGCTCGTTGACCTTTGGAGGGACGGGAATGATCAACTCCCCCTCCGCTTCCTGATCCGTGTTCACCACTTTATAGGGTGATCAAAGGTAACCTAAGCATATTCTGTCTGGCGCATCTCGCCAATCATGCGTCTGCTGATATTGATTGTCGTGTTTTGGCTGGTGCTGGTGACCATTGAAGTTGAGTTGCTGGTGCTCTTCTTGGTGAAGTTCGCCCGTATTGGTCGAGGCTGTTTGACAGCGAAGAGATTATTAGAAATGACAAGGAAAAGGTCGATAAAGTAGCTGCGGGAGCATTCTGTCAGTCTGGGCTCTGCAGTACCGAACGGAGAGCTCCTTGCACCTGTGCTGTAAACGACATAAACGGTTCCAAGCCCACCTTCAAACAAGAAATTAAATCCATGACGTGGCTTTAAGGTCTGCAAGATGCTTAAAGAGAGCGTAAAGGTGTTGAAACACATTACAAAGTCATGCTCTGATGAGCCCTTGAAACCTTGTCAATAATCTTAACAGCACGCAACGGTGCGGATGTTTCATCAACAGGATATTACCAGCATATTCATGTTCTGTTTTTTAGTCAAACTTATGCGGCCAACATTTCAAAACGATGCAACCTTTTTATTGGACGACACTGGCGCTCGCAAGACAGTACCGGCAATATCAAGCTCACGGTAGTTCTCGGTAGTTTAAATTTCTAAGAAGTTCAACTTTCTAAGTAGTTCAAGTTCGTACTTAGCATGTGAATTGCAAAGGAAGGCTGCTGTCACATAAGTGTTATCTCTTTCAACATGCGACGGCTACGTTTCCAAACTATCACGCACTTTTTATGGAAAGCCATCTTCACCTGAAATAATCGTCCGGTTACCGAAAACAATCAAGACATTGTAATTAAATGAAAAAATGGCAAAACATTGACACCGCCCCAACGGCGAAAAAAGGTCTTAATCTTCTTAATCTTTCTTAATGTCATATGTTCCATTGGTGCCAATAACATAAAAAGCACAAGGTAATGTATGACGCCAATATAGGAATAAAAACGTTATCGTGTTGTGCTTCTACCGTGATGGCAAACATCAATGTGGTTTACTGGGTTGAGAAATGTGCTTACATTGTTGCTTTATCCATTTGTTTCCCTAGTTCAGTACGTCAGTATGTATGGTTTACTGGTTCACAAAGTCGGTGGATGATTATTAAGATACTTGAGCCAGGTACATAGAAAATGAAAAATCTGAAGAAATGTTACCAAGTTCTGCTAGACACAATCTTGCACCGAACGACGCATCCAATTAAACAATGCTTCCAAAACCAGAAGTGCCCTTCGAAAAGAGTCGCTGTGTTAGACGTTACAGGGGAGAAATCAAAGCCATAGTACAATATTTCAAGTAATTCCCGTGCTAACGCCCACATACTTGAATGCATCAGTCGTTTAACGCGCGCTCGGGTGGGAGAGGTCAGATTGACCCCCCGAAAACTTTTCCCGAATGGTTCCGAATGGCGCGGCGTAGCGGCGCCAACTTTTGCATAGCTGTAGACAATTGAATAGCGGATCGTTTGGTGACAACAAAATTAGATGACAATGTCCCGGTCCCTGATCCGCAAAGCTGAAAAACTGTTGCAAAACAAGCTGCAAAAGTGAAGCCAGCAAGAGGAGTCTTTCCAGGGTGGTAATGAACACTCAAGGTGGGAGTTAAGAGGTCAGACAGTGTATCGGATCCTTTCTTTGTACAGAATGGTATGCGTCAAGGGGGCAACGTTTTGGGGGGTACGAGTTGCACCGAGTCAGAGTTGTAACGAGTTGTGCCCTTACAATGGGTACGAGAGGACAGGAAACGCAGGCATCGCTCAATGAAAGAGATTCTAGTGATATAAATCAAGTTCGACGTTTGATTTTCGATTTGATCCTCATGTTGCGTCATGCATAAAAAATAACAGCAAAAATGGGCTCGTTGCCATCGAAGTTCTCTCTACAACGGTCTCACACGTCCGTCTAGGTCAGCAACATACAAGTTCGAGACTGGATTAGCATTCTGAATTCTGAGAAATGTGCAAAGATGCGCCAGCAGCAAGACAAGGAAATTTGGCCCTCCTAGCTACATTTAACTGGTTACATAGAAGATTTCCGTTACTCTTTCGTGGCAGCTGATATTGCAGGGTCTCATATAAAAAGTACGAGGATGACAACTATTCCACACGCGCGCAGTCAGGTGGAAAGCGTTTTCTGCAGTGCGTGCGTCGTGTATGTAGCACATGTTTATATAACTACGGTATATAACACATGCTGCCTCCGTGAGTGGCACCCCTACAGTGAGTGCAAGAGGACACTGCACGACATGTATCGATCAATCGAGATTATTTTCGTCATTCGTAATCATCTTTGACCTTTGACCGTCGACTTGACCTGGAATTTGACCCATTCGTGATAACTAAGTGTAGAAATGGACTGCCAACCATGGAAAATCTGTCAAAAATGGTGTCAAACGACCTTCTAATCCATCGATAGAAGAAAAAACGTTGAATTTGGAGAAAAAATCAAGATGGCGGTGGCCACCGTCTTGAATTCTGTGATATGCTCAGATATCCAAGTGGTTACTAAGCTAATTTGGATCTCCAAGCGACATGGAACATATCTCCGTGAAAAAGTCTGCGGTACTCCACATTGCAGGCTGTCATAAAGGAAGCATCAAAATGGCAACTCGACTATTAACACCATGCAACATCCTAGTTCAACGAGGTGACTAACGCAACGCTTTATCACAATCGGTCGGTACGCTCCATGTACTTACTTCTGAATGCGTTGCATGGGCCATGTCGGCATTGTCCTCTACGCCCTTCCCTGTGTGACTAAGCAGTAATGGCACGTTCGTGAACAAAGGTTATGGTTGATGATATCACCTTGTTCTCGCAAATGTCGCCAGACATCACAGGCTTGTTTGTTGACCTTTGGAGGGGACGGGATGATTGACACTCCCTCCGCTTCCTGGTCCGTTTTTGCCAGTATAAAAAGCGACCAAAGGAAACATGGGCATATCCTGTTGAGTCGTCTCTCACCAACAATGCGTCTGCTACCATTGATTGTTGTGCTTTGTCTGGTGTTGGTGACCACTGAAGGTGAGTTTCTGGCGTTTCTCTCGGCAAAGTCCTCTTGTGTGGGTCGCTGCTCTTTGACAATGTAAGCATTTAACAGACATGACAATAAAATGGTCCATAAGGAGACCGTGAAAATATTCTGTGTCAGCCGGAGCGTCGTAGCACCACACGGAGAGCTCTTGGTCCACGTTCTGTAAGAAGAATTCAAAGTCACGCTGTGATGGACCCTTGGGATGGACTCTATGTAATGTATATATGTGTGCTTCGGGCAGCCAAGTACAAGTGTTCGTGTGTGCTACAACTTTGGAAGTGGATAAGTCATTGGAAGTTATTCCATCATGCTGCACTGCCAATTGCCACCTTATCACCGACTTTCCATGGTTGCCAAAGTAGACAACACTTGTAGGTGGGAACTGCAGGGACAGCATGTCCCCAAAAATAGCTGGCGGGCCTTCTGCCCCGCTTTCATATTTTCTGTAAGACCTATGGTGTAGGCGTCTGCACAAGAAAAACTGTCAGCTTTAGGTCTCATTTCCTCACTTTCCTATGGCCACGTTTTTTTTACCAGTATTATGGTAAAATATACTTTCCTATGGCCACGTTTTTTTACCAGTGTTATGTCAGGTAAAGATGGTATGATAATGATAGGACTATTTTGTAGCAAACTGTCCCGCAAACTGTGATCTGAATACGCATCTAGGCAAACTATTCAGCTGCTAAAATGCCCCGTCTGAAGCTGCTACTCATAGTAGTAGCTGCTATATTGAGCAGAATCGTTGTGGTCGACTGAACTACCCCAAGATGTCTTGTACCGACATCCCCGGCATTTGCACTAACCGGTTGGTGCGAAGTCAACCGGATTATTAATATTATTGTTCCTATTAAACCGGGCGTGTCTGATCTAGATATCAGTAAAAGGTGCAAAAAGGTAAGATGATCCATTGCAGATCCCCGAGGGATGTGTTCGTGAGGTATTGGGGGTGGGGGGGGGGGGGAGAGATGGGCAATCAGACCTCAACCAACCCAGGAGAATCATGTATTCCCTGTGGGCAGTCACGATTGTATGGTGCCAAAGCTTTGATCGTAAAAGATCATTTTGGTTCCTTCCAGCAACGTACTAGACCGCTAGTCATATGCCAGATGTGCGTCACCATTGTCAGCACTCCAGACCGCCGTGCGAACAGAAGCTATGTCGTGCTAAATGACTCCTTCAGTTCTAGCACGTCAAAATTGTGGCAGGTTTCAACCGTATTGGTGAAGTAACCAACTCATGCATTGCAGGTGGAAAGTGTTACAGATTCGGCCAGGCGTGTGGAAAATGGAAAACAAATGTCTGCCGCTGGTGCTGGAAACCTCACAAGCATCTCTGCTGTCTTTGGGGCGACACCTTCAGTACGTTCCAGCCGTTGCCGCCCGGTGCTGAGCAAGCTTGTAGCCATGGGGATGTAGTTGTGGCGCTATCGGCTACGAAACCCCAGCTCAAACTAGGGGTCCTATGTAACATGTTCATGAACTGTTGTCATGCATCACATCATAGCTTACATGAAACTTCCCCCCTTACGAGATGTGCGGTTTAGTTTTAACACAAGCTCGGTTGTGTGTGGAGTTGCCCCGGATGTTTTTTTCTCTCTTCAAAATGGAATGCGAACGGCACATCGTAGTCACACCGACCCTTGCATAGCCGTAGATAATTGCTATGCAGGAATCAGACGTGCCTTGTATGGTATCTTTTAAGATCGCTGACCTATTGCAGGTCAAAATAGGGCCGTGGCTCTCAGCGAAGGCCATTTCCGGAAAATCATTTATTTGATGCGGTGACGAAGTGTTTGACGAAGCCATACATCTCTTAGATAGACTATGATGCCATAAACCAATTGCATTTATAAACAACAACCTCCATTGATGTAGGCCAGGTATGAATGTCAGAACGAGGTCAAAATTGGCGTTTTATATTCGAGGGCTTGCTTCAAGAGGTAGTTTTTGGAGCTCATTTCGAAGTTAGCAAAGACAGGGATTGCAATATACATGATCCATGTACTTTTAAGGTCAGGTTGAGTCACTGACCTAAAATGACCAAGATTAATATTCTGTTTTTAGGAACGTATGCCTAGCGGAGACTTTGATGATTTTTCAATTGCAAAAGGGGTACGTCTTGTGCATTTGTGTTTGCCATGACCTCATTAACGTCAGACACGGTCACTGAACTTATATTGTCTAGATGCACAGCGGTTGCATGAGAGGGTCTGGGGATACTAATCTGAAGTTTGATCTTGCTGACCTCGTTTGACCCCGAAGTCATGACCTGGGAATCTATAATTTTGACACAGGTGAATTCACATATACGCGACTCACTCTGTGTATTTGGTGTTTCCAGCTTCCATACTTTTTGATATCGCAAGGGGTCAAACTGACCCCCACCCGAGCAAAGGATGTTTAACCGGCCACATCGTCGTGTGTTTAAGATGCGATTTGCGTTTCGATTGTGTTCATTTTCATATCACAACATAATCATGTCAGATGCGTTTTGGCATCGAAGCCATAGGATACTCGCCATGAAAAAAACGTTCTTCTAGTAACGATAAATAACGAAATATTATTTCATGTCACACACCACTTACTTTGTAATATCCACCATGCACCAATTGTGACGACCGATCAACCCCTCATTTCAGAGGAATGCAGAAGAAAATGTCGCTTCCCCCGTCGATGCAGCACATTGAGAGGACGCTGTAGCAAAGGATGGTGCTGTATTCGGTGCAAAGGAAAACATTGCAAGGGTTAACTGCACCACCTACTGTCGGCTGCCGCTGTCATCACGGGATGGATAGCGACTGCAGTGATGTTGATATGTCGCTGCATGCACACGGTATTCCTATTTTATGTTGAACGCACTTTTGCAAGATCGTGTTCGATTTCCTGCACGTGTTTATGCGAACCGGACAGGCAGCTTCTTAGGAGAGGGTGTTACATTGAATACAATTACGGGATCGTGTATTTGTTTACATCTGTTGTGCAAGTTTGAAATGCAAGGCGACAGTTCGCAAAGGGTGGCTATTGAAGCAAGGGATCGCAGAGGACACCAGACTGCAGTCGTCATGTCACAGCAGGCACCAAGAGACATTACAGTCCCAGAGACCCCCGCCCGCGCCGAAGAACCGCGCCTATCCTGTGAGCAGTTACAGTCATGTGGTGTCAATGCTTTGATCGTAAAATGACCTTTTGGTTCTCCCGAGCAGCCTATTAGACCGCTAGCCATATGCCAGACTTGTTCCACAGTTTTCAACGTTTTAAGCTGTCGTCGAAATGAGAGTAAAATCGTGGTGACCCCATGGGTTCTAGCACGTCAGAGCTATGACAGGTTTCAACTGTGAGTAGGTATTGACACCACTGATGTTATATGTAACCCACTGATGCGTATTAGGTCAAAGGTGTTACGAATTCGACGAAGAGGGCGAGAAATGCAAACCAGTTGTCTGTCGCTTGCGTTAAGTCCTCGCCAGCGTCTCCGGTGCCTCCGTGGGCGGTGGCACCTTCAGCACGGTCCAGCCGTTGCTGAGCAAGTGTGTTACCAGGTTGACGTGGTTTTAATCTTATGCACTGCGAAACTCCCGCTAAAGCGGAGGGTTGCTTGTGAGATGTTCATCTATTCTTGTCATCCATAGCGTCAATAGCTCACACTTCAGTCCTGCCTTTATCTGATGTGTTGCTCAGTTTTTTTTAACGATGCAATCTGTGCCTCGAGTGTGTTGATGTTCCTATCATTACCTGCTGATATTAGCGGCGTTTACGCGTTGAAATTGAAGATCTTTGCCATGAGTAATACGCTTTCTTATGCAGGATAATTGATGAAATATTCGTTGGCGTAACACACTATTTCCTTTATTATATACGCCATGCACCAATCGTGAGCATTGATCACCCTTTCGTTTCAAACGAATACAGGGCAAAACGCCGTCGCGACTATTGATACAGCAAATTGGGTGGCAACTGTAACAAAGGATGGTGCTGCACCATCCCGCGAAAATGATATTTGACACATTGAGGATGAAGCTTATACTCTGTGACAGTTGTCTAGGCCTGCGCATAGCCACGCCCCAGCTAAGCTGCGATGCGTTTTGAACCTATGCTGCCGGACAAAGTCCTGCTTTTTCAACGTCTTTTGTTTTGTTTCTCTGAGGAATTACATTCGTTAATTCAACGTGACAGGGTATTGCGTTAACGCATTATCCCATCCCTCTTGTATCCGTTCGCGCTATAAAGAAACAACAAGTGGGGGCGAGGGTGGAGACCCAGCGGTGATGTGAGATGATCGCTCTCACTCTGTATGACTGCAAATGCATGGCAATCGGCGAGTTTGTGTCGTGAACAAATGTTTCGCACGCTCACTTCATTGGGTTATGTGGTAGAAAATAGGCTGAACATAGTTCAAATTACGTCAAAAACTAGCTCGAGAAGCCAAAATCTGCGCTGAAATATACTGAATTCGTAATGTTTGTCATGACGTTGCTCGCTGCTACCACCGGACATGTTAGGCATAAGAGGCGCGGAGCATAGTTTTTTGTTGTCGTAAATTTGTAAGTTGTAGTTTTTTGAGTCTGGCTATTGACCACGAAACATGGTTTCAAATCGCCTGCATGCTAAGTCAGATGGAATATGGAATGTAGAAAATTTGATAACGAGGCTGAAGTCTTTCTGCAAAAAACGCATTCATCGTTTCGGACGTCTACAGATCTAAGTGCTAAAGCTGGTACGCTTGTGCCACGCACGCAGGTCCGGCGAAATGTCTCTGAATATCAATGTTTATGGTAAGGACAAACGTTTCGAGCGTTTCGCCTGGAATAGCGTTGACAACATTATGATTCCTTAACACCAAATGCTCTCCACGCGCTGGATTTGGAGGCGGCCGTCCACTGAACTCCCAGCGCTTGAAATTCCCCCGACGCACCGGACACATCCGCCACCACGTGTGTTTTTTGTCAGTCTGGGAGCGAGGTACTGACGCGAACACAGCCAAACGATCCTGCCTTGTCCGGTAACCTTCGCCAGCGCAGCACTCGCGGTACCGCACCCCACCCTCGCGGTACAGGTACTGCACCCCACGTCCGCGTAAATTTCCTGGATCGGCTTAGCAACACCCTGTCAGCAGCGAGTGCAGCACAACCTGAAAGTGTTCACGTACGCGTTGAAGACGCGCATTCAACAGCCAAATCTGACTTTTCGCCAATAATCTTCCGTTGTTTCGACCACTTGTTATTTCAGTTCAGTTTCAGTTATATTTCAGTTCAAAAGCTCATACGAATGTGGGACATACCCTTCCATTGTGTACAGCCAGGTCCATCGAGGAAGGCGTCGTTTGCGGCGGGATTGTGTATATTCACCATCTCAGCCAGCACGACTGGCATGGCCAAGGTTCGGAATCTACTGAAAATTAGTAAAGGGTTGCCTGATGCGTTCAGTGCAACAGACACAATAACACGCGCTCTGACTTCTGAACGTCGACATATGAACCCGCTTACGTTTCTTAACATCCATAATTGTGTTTACATAACTAGAGTTTACGTATTTTTTAGTGCCGTGGCACTCATAATAATACCCAGAGTAGACATGAGTATATATGATTTCAAGATCACAAAAATTTATTCAACGGGACCGAATGAAATTCACATGAATCAGTTTGAAAAAGTTAACGATATGACCTAGATCTCAGGCCTTTTATTTCAACATTGCATTGTGCGCGTTCCCACCTATTAATTCTACCTTTATTCTACAGAAATCCCCTGTCATATGTCGTCTTTCCAATACAGCAATGCCATAAAAGAGAGCGAGTACCTAAATAGCCGTCCCCCGCCTCAGAGCATGGCGTGTATTTTACGTATTTTGTCATTTGTATCTCACCAAAATAAGGCAGGTGTCTTTCGATTGGTATGCGGCTCCATTACATTGGTAATCACTTAGCTTTCTTTCCAAATTGGCATTAGTGTTCATTTGGTGCGTCGCATCCACCAAGCGTAGCTTCAGCTCCGCGTGATATACGGATCACGACCAACATAGCCCTAGGTAGTTCATCGGGCTCGACGCTACGTTGATATGCGCCGACCCCCGTAGCACCAGCACAGCTACAAATGTAATGTGAATGTTACGACGTCATGTCTGGTTGATCCTGCAGTGTAACAATAAAGCACAGACAGCGAACGTCGGCAGCCGGTTCCGAGCGAGCCCGTTGTTGCTGTCATTGTATAATAGGCGTCCAATGTCAGCCCGTGGCGGCCTGCAAGTGAGCCAACTTGCACCGACTTGGATGCACCGACGACAGGTGTCAAAGAGCCTGGGTACAGGAGATAAACGCTGTATCAGTCGAATGGTGGTCTAGTCTCGATATTCTCGAACGGGGGAAAAACAAATCAGCGTGATTGGCCACGATACCAACCCTGCCTGGCCAACGATATGCGGAATATGGGTCAACTATTTTCAGGTCTTTGGCTGAGCATTGGATATGTCCCAAGTGCTATAGCAGCAAGAAATTACCAAAAATGCTATCTCCATTTCTCGGTAAAGCCAAAGAGCGTCCACAGACCAGTGCACGCTTGTGGAGGTGCTTAAACATGTCAATAATTTTGTAGAGACGTTGAGCCAAACCGAAGAAACACTCACTCGGCGTCATGGTACTGCTTAGGAACAGCCTCGGTTGTTTAATGAAGTAGGGCACTGCATCGCGCGTCACGGTACCGAGTGGCTATCGGTGATTTTATCCAAAACTTTGTTCCGCTTAAGACCTCCCAAGGGAGACACTGCGAAAATATGCCACTACTGCAATTGTATATATATATATATATATATATATATATATATATATATATATATATATATATATATATAAGTGTGTGTGTGTGTATATACATATGCAATACACCAAAGCTTTTGTACGTGCACACACAGTTAATGAAATGCTCCACAGATCACAACAGACAGAAGCACAAGCCCGTGGGTTTCAATCATGGTTTATCTGTGGTGCATCTGTGGTGCATATGCACACACACACACACACACACACACACACACACACACACACACACACACACACACACACACACACACACACACACACACACACACACACACACACACACACACACACACACACACACACACACACACACACACACACACATACACACACACACACACACACACACACACACACACACACACACACACACACACACACACACACACACACACACACACACACACACACACACACACACACACACACACACACACACACACACACACACACACACACACACACACACACACACACACACACACACACACACACACACACACACACACACACACACACACCATCTTTCTACGAATAATATTGTCATTTACTTTGCGATTCACGTTTGTCTTGGACAACCAACAACTCATAACTAACTGCTTAACGTTACCGTTTCATTTTATTCATAGGCGTACTTTTCATCTATGTCAGGTGATGACACCCGCAAAACTTTGCGATGCCCAGAACAAAGATTCAGAAAAAAACGCAAGAACGCTGGAGCAAACACACAACTACGATCGTCATCAACCATGGGAAAACACGTCGCAGTTGCAGTTACATCCACGGTTACTGGATCTACAGGTTATGTGAACCTGACAACCAGTGTTGTACTCACGGGGAAATGTATTTTCTACTGGATGCGGCGTCTTATGGGCCAGATCGCTGGGCTAAGGCGGCTTGGCTCAACGGTACCGCCTGCTGTAAAAACCTAAGGCAATAAAACCCAAGAACGTAGTGTATGCTGTGATATCCTGATTTGCTTGTGCTATTGAGATGTACGACAGTGGTAAACCGGACTAATGCAGTAGACATTTCTGTTTTGTGTCAAACATTTCAGTAGTGCTAAATTTGACGCCTCTACAAAATCCATCGTTGTTGCTCTCAAAGTCACGGGTCTCCACAAACTTGTAGCATGGCATCACTTCGCTGAATAAAGTTAAAGGCGTATAAAAGTGATATTAGCTGATTCGCATCGCTGAAGATTTCCTGCGCAGATTCGGGCGGCTGTGCACTGTGAAACGATAATATGGCGGTCATCGCCTTACCATCATTCTTCAATGAAATCACAAGACGCGCGATACGGTATGGTTTCGTGCCTGCCCTTATAAGGCGCCTGTTCAAGAGTTCAAGAGCCAGGGTTGGATTAAAGCATTTCATTGCAAAAGGGTTGTGAACATGGTTTGAACGCGCAAGCCTGTCGTAAACAACGCAAAAAGAAGTATTGCCAATGGCGATGCCAGCTCCCTCAGACAGATTAGGCCTTGAAATCGGAGCTGGCCATCCAGGCAGATGCAACGATATGGCTTATGGATGCTTTTCATTTAATTCATTCTCAAACTAATTAAGCGTCACTTGATAACAGGATTGATGAGGTGGAAGTCCAGGCGCCCTCCTCCTCTCAGGTTTTGGACACAAAAACATATCCACAATATCTGGCTTCTGAAAAGTGACCGTTTTGGGAACACTGCACGACAATTTTCGGCCGGCGCGGCCGGCGCGGGCAGCGGACGGCAATCGACAAAGCTGTAGTTCGCGGCGGCGGGGACATCAACTGCTACAGTCACTTTACACATATATGCTCAAAACACACCAAACTGTATAATACCAATATGCCCAAAACGAAAGAGCTGACACGTTTTTGCATTTTCGATGACGGATTGGTCACGTCGAATACCCCCCCCCCCCTGCCATCAGTGTTCGTGTTATGAAAAACAGCGAGTCAGCGCGAGGGTTTAGCTCTCAACTGGCGTTCAGACGTATGAATGGCACGCCCTGCTCACTGATACGCGCTAATATGTGGACAAGATGCTGCTGAAATCTTGGCCGTAGGCAATATTTTTAGCCCAAAACTACACCTATCAAGCTAGCCTAAACTACGCCTGTCTAAGCTCACCCCATGCATCTCGAGCCACGAAAAGCTAAGATGGGCACGAACAACTTAGCACAATATAATATGCTCAAACTTAACGCTTTAAAGACTTAGACACTGGTCTACGGGTAAACTTTGTAAGCTCCATCGCAACGGTCTGCTCTAATTGACCTAAAACCTAACCTGAAATATTTTGCGCAGTTGCGCGTGCCCACCTTACCTGTTCAGGATTTGAAACGCGTAGACTTAACGTTATAAGTCCACCGATTTCTAGCCAGATTGTGAAAGTCCTGAATATCTATGTACAGCTTGATATAAAACTGCTACTAGTTTGACAGGCGTCCCAAAACTGGGCTTAGGCTGGTTCAGATGTGTTAAAGAGCCCAAGTTCTCGGCGCGACGCCATGCCATGTTTTGCATGGGGCAGATAAAAATAAAAATGTTTCTAAACTATTTCCATGTATATGCATTCTATCATGAAAAACACGGCGCATATAACGACGGTGATGTCTGGATGTGTGCAGGCCATAACATCCATCTGAAATGAATCGTGTAAGAAACGGCGTTTTATCACCATCTGGAAGTGAAATTAGTTTGAAAGGTGCTCTAGTGGGCTCCAAAATTTAGTTAGCTGGCATCATAGTGCCTTAAAAAAAGCGCCGCCACTGAATTGTTGATGTATACCCATTTGGCCAGCAGTGTCAGTTTCGGGCCGATCGGCCTAGGTTCTCACTGCTCTGGATGGAGGCTGGGGGGGGGGGGGAGGGGGTTGATTGGGTTCCACATCCCGGCACGCTTCCTGGAACTGGTGAGCGCGCTTTTGGGACGTGTGATTCTGTTGTGTAGAGGGAAGATGATGCCTTTCTGACTACATCGTGCTGTTATCAGTTGGCCCGGACGCAAAAGCTACGGTGCATCTCTCTATGTCTCGATGTGGACAGCATACATGACGTCTTGCTTGTACACTGCTACGACCCTTTTGGTAGCTGCTTCCTCCGCGTGCGACATTTTGTAAAGATATCATTATCTGGTGTTGTGTTGTATCTCTGTATCATATTGGTATTCTGTCTATGCGGAACATATACCCTAAAATTATTAGCTTGCTCGGTGTTGTAATCTTTCTGCATATGGATTTGATCTCATGCATGGGTAGGATTGTCGTTTTGAGCTGTGGAGATATTCTTGCACGAACATGTCCACTAATATTGATGGTGAGCTCAAAATGTCCCATGTCCGTATCACGCCTTCAATACTCAGCCAATTTCAAACGTTAAAAGCGCCAATCTTGCCCAGAAAGCTGTCAAATTTTCAAGTTAACGTCAATCTTAGCTGGTTCAGCAATGTAGCTGTCCAATACAGTGGCAGAAAGTTAGATGACATCTACACTAGGAAGTCAGAGCAATGGGTCCAGAATATGCCTCAGTGGCCAAACAATATAATGGAAAGACATTTGCCTACAAGACATTAAGGCATCTCAAACCCGGCAAGCACGGCTTGCATTCCAACGCGCAGAATGCTTTAAGAAGCAAAATGTAACTTTTGAGAAAACTGGGTGGGTATCATATGTCCGCGAAGAACACTAGCGTCATCTGTAAAGCAAGTATTGATACAGGTAGCGCCACCTAGGTTAATGTCGCAACGCCTATGCAAAATGCCGTGCAATTCAAAGCTAAGGCACTGAACTTGGTGTACAAGAGCAAGAGCACGTTTGGTGTACGGCAGAAGACATGATTTACCGGATGCCGAAAGCGTTTTAGCCGTATGTATCTTTTCAAACTGCCCAAAAGCTACCTCTGAAACCCTTCCTATGGGTTTGCAATGCTTTCGGTTCGCTCGGCGCCCCGTGATGACGTCACGGCAGGATTGACAGATAAGCTTTGAGGAGGGCCGAGTTGCATCAAAGGCCATGACTGCTCTAACATCCAAAGTAGTCCTGTGAGGAATGAATTCAGCGCCAAGAATTGATTGTATCGCCTTAGTTGTACAGGGCTTAGGCTGCAGAACAAATAAACAATGATTTGAGCCTGCTTACGTCACTTTTTTCCTGCTCACATCAAGTGACATGAACAAATGGTCAGTAACACAACTTACTATAAACAACGGCTCTGGATGTGATGATATGTTTCATGGCATGCGATCCCTCCCTAACACTTGCAGCAGTATGTGCGCCAGCGGCATGCACTTTGCTTGTTGCGGCTGCAGATTTTCGTTCGAAATTCGCGGTAGCTGACATTGCAGTGTCATATAAGAAGTACGAAAATGATTACTCGGCTGCACGTACACAACCAGGTGAAAAAACGTATTCTATAGTGCATGCGTCATGTATGTAGCATATGTCAATATGATTGCCGTATAGAACACATGCCGCTTCTGTGAGTGGCATCCTCACAATGAGGACATGAGGACACAGCACATGTATTAATCAATAGAGGTGATTGCCGTTTTTCGTGATCATCTTTGACCTTTGACCCTCGACTTGGCCTTGAATTCGACCCCATTTGTGACAAATAATTGCAGAAATGGACTCCCTGCAGCAGGAAATATCTCAAAAATCGTGTTGAACAACACTCCAATCCATAGAGAAAACAATTTTGAGACCGGACACACTTTCAGGATGGTGGCGGCCGCCATCTTGAATTCTGCGATATGTTCGGTTAAACAAGTAGCGCGTAAGCTAATTTGGGTTTCCAAGCTATATAGGGCATATTCCCGTGAAAAACGTTCGCGGTAGTCGACATTACAGTCTCATAAAAGATGCGTAAGGATGGTAACTTGACTAAAAACAGCTCGCAGCGTTCTAATTCAACGAGGTGAGTAACGCAACGCTTTATCAGAATCGGTCAGTACGTTCCATGTACATACATCCCAAATGCGTTCCATGGGCCATGTCGGCATTGTCCTCTACGCCCTACCCTGTGTGACTAAGCGCTACTCCGTGCACCAATGGCACGTTCGTAAACAAAGGTTGCGGTTGATGATATCACCTTGTTGTTGCAAATGTCGCCAGACATCACAGGCCTGTTTGTTGACCTTTGGAGGGACGAGATGATTGACGCCCCCTCCGCCTCATGGTCCGTTTTTGCCAGTATAAAAAGCGACCAAAGGCAGCATGGGCATATCCTGTTGAGTCGTCTCTCACCAAACATGCGTCTGCTACCATTAATCGTCGTGTTTTGTCTGGTGTTGGTGACCACTGAAGGTGAGCTTCTGGTGTTTCCCTTGGCAAAGTCCTCTTGCGTTGGTCGCTGCTCTTTAACAATGGAAGTATTTAACGGACATGACAACAAAAGGGCCCATAAGGAGACCATGAAAGTATTCTGTGTTAGCCGGGGCGTCGCAGCACCACACCAAGAGCTCTTGGTACTTGTTCTGTAAAGGTGAAAAAGTGCCCCAAAATCTGCTTCAAAAAGGAAGACATTCAGGGGTTTTAAAGGAAGTGTGTGACCATCAAAGAAGATTTCAAAGTCACGCTGTGATGAACCCTGGGGATGGACCTTATGTAATGATTATATTTGTGCTTCGGGCATTCAAGTGCAAATATCTGTGTGTGGTACATCTTTGGAAGTGAATAATTCATTGTAAGTCGTTCCATCATACTGCACTGCCAATTTCCACCTTTTTCACTGACTTTTCATGGCTGACAAAGTAGATACCACTAGTAGATGGCAACGGCAGGGAGAGCATGTCCCCCCAAAAAACTGGAGGGCCTTCTCCCCGCTTTCATATTTTCTGTGAGACCTATGGTGTACACGTCTGCACAAGAAAAACTGTCAGCTTTAGGTCTCATTTCCTCACATTCCTATGGCCACGTTTTTTTACCGTGTTAAGTCAGGTAAAACTGGTGTGCTAATGATAGGACTATTTTGGAGCAAACTGTCTCGCAAACTGTGATCTGAATGCGCATCTAGGCAAACTATCCAGCTGCTAAAATGACCCGGCCGAAGCTACTACTCATAGTAGTAGCTGCTATATTGAGCAGAATCGTTCTGGTCGACTGAACCACCCCAAGATGTCTTACCGGCACCCTGGCATTTGCACCAACCGGGTGGTGCGAAATCAACCGGATTTTTAATATCATTGGTCCTAGTAAACTGGGCGTGTCTGATCTAAATGTCAGTAAAAGATGCAAAAAGGTAAGACGATCTCATTCAGACCCCCGCAGAATGTGTTCGTGAGGTATTGAAGGGGCAATCACACCTCAACCAACCCAGGAGAATAATGTATTCTCTGTGGGTAGTCACGACTGTATGGTACCAAAGCTTTGACGGTAAAAGAGCCTTTTGGTTCCCTTCAGCAACGCATTAGGCCGCTAGCCACATGCCAGATCTGTACCTCAACTGCCAGCACCCCAGACCGTCGTGCATACAGGCATTGTATCGTGCTAAATGACTCCTGGAGTTCTAGCACGTCAAAAGTGTGGCAGGCTTCAACCATAAACGGAGGTAACCAACCGGTGCATTGCAGGTGGAAGGTGTCGCAAATTCGGCAAGGCGTGTGGAAAAGGGAACGGGGATGTGTGCCGCTGGTGTTGGAGGCCTCACAAGCGTCTCTGCTGTCTTCCGGGCGACACATACAGTACGTTCCATTCGTTGTCGCCTGGTGATGAGCAGACGTTGTCGCCATGGTGATGTGCGACGCTATGAACTACGGAACTTCAGCTCAAACTAGGGGTCGTTAGTAACATGTTCATGAACTGTTGTCATGCATCACATCGATAGCTTACAAGTAAGGTCTTCCCTTACGAGATGTGCTGTTTAGTTCTAACATAAGCTCGGGTGTGTGTGAAGTTGCCCCGGATGTTTTGTTTTTTTCAAAATGGATTGCGAACGGCGCGGCGTGGTCATACAGAACTTTGCATAGCTGTAAACATTTAAAGGCTGGATCTTACGCTATGCAAGATTTAGGCATTTTTTGCAAGGTCACTCACCCATTGCAGGCCAACATCAGGCTGTGACTCTCAGTGAGGACTATTTCTAGGAGTGGTGCATTTCTGAACCACTGTGGATTTGTGCTACGCGAAACCCCAGCTAAAGCGGAGGTTGACTGTGAGATACTTATCAACTCATGTCATACATGGCGTTGATCGCTCGCCCATCAGGCTTTCTCTCATGAAATGCGCTCTTCAGGTTTCTTAGAGATGCAACATGTATTTCGAGCATTGCATTTGCTCATATTAGCAGCGATTTTTTAGTCATGGGATGGTTGTCATAGCTTCTACATTCAAATTGGCGGACGTTATGTTCGTCGAAGCTACATCAACGTGCTGCAGAGGATTCAACATCCACAAATCCCTGAGGCGACCGTTCTCTAATTTCAGGTGACTGCGGGAGAAAATGCAGTTTCCCAAATACCTGCAGCACACTAAACGGCGATTGTCACAAAGGATGGTGCTGCGTATACTGCAAAGGAAAACATTGCTGGACGGGCTAGCTGCACCACTTGCTGCCGGCTGCCGCTGTCGTCAAGGGATGGATAACGACTGCACTGACACCAGATGTGAAGTGACTGCATGTACAAGGAAGACCCATGCTATGTTGGTGGCGTAACAGCAAGGTCGTACGCAATTCTCAACAGGTGTTTATGCGAACCGGACATTTAGCTGTTTGTAGTTGGGCTGTACGTTGAATACAATTACGGAGCCATCTATTTGGTAGCATCTGTTTTGCCAACTCAAAAGGCATCGGCGCCGGTCCGTAAAGCATGGGTATTGTGGCTGCGGTGCGAACGACACCTGGTCATCTGACAAACGTGTTCTCGACGCCCTCAGGTACAAAGTAGGTCATTTTCAGGTTGACAAAATGCCCATATCAGCGTCACATAGATCGACCGGTCCAGACACAGACTCCTTTCTCGCTTAAGGTTTTGGAATTCGATACATGTAATTCGTCGAAATGGAAAACATTGAAAACTGCAGAACACAGAACATGGACGTTTTCTCCGGCGATCGCCAGCTCCTCGATCTCCTGAACCGCGACATTCTGAGCATTAATTTCTCTAATCCAAACTCTCTTAATTTTGACCTTGTACCAGACCTTTGACCTTGTATCGGCCGAAAGGGCTTCGAACTCCTGAACGTAGGCCAACTTAACCCCGAATATTTCAGCATCGACCTTCTCTGTCTCGGCTCCCCGAGCTTCCCAGGTCTAGACCTTGGCCTTCTGAGCACGACCTCCAGATCCTTGAGCCAACCTTGAAGAAAATCGTAGGAAATCGTAAAGATGTGAGCTTTTCATGGTCCCTAATTGTTGCCTGGAAAATTTGGGCATTTCTTTGCATATGTACTGTTTTATTCACGGGTGCTTCCGTTTGACAGGCAACGGCCCCCCCCCCCCCCCCCACCCTGCCATCAGTGTTCGTGTTATGAAAAACAGCGAGTCAGCGCGAGGGTTTAGCTCTCAACTGGCGTTCAGATGCATGAATGGCACACCCTGCCCACTGATACACGCAAATAAGTGGACAAGATGCTGGTGAAATATTGGCCCTAGGCAATATTTTTAACCCAAAACTACACCTATCAAGCTAGCCTAAACTACGCCTGTCTAAGCTTAGCCCATGCATCTCGAACCACGAAAAGCTAAGTTGGGCACGAAAAACTTCGCACAATATAATATGCTCAAACTTAACGCTTTAAAAGACTTAGGCACTGGTTTACGGGTACACTTTGTAAACTCCATCGCAACGGTCTGCTCTAATTGACCTAGAACCTAAGCCTAAAATATTTTGTGCAGTTGCGCGTGCCCACCTTACCTGTTCACGTTTTGAAACGCGTAGACTTAACGTTATTAGTCTATCGATTTCTAGCCAGATTGTGTGAGTCCTGAATATCTATGTACAGCTTGATATAAAACTGCTACTAGTTTGACAGGCGTCCCAAAACTGGGCTTAGGCTGGGTCAGATATGTTGAAGAGCCCAAGTCCTCGGCGCGACGCCATGCCATGTTTTGCATGGGGTAGATAAAAAATAAAAATGCTACTAAGCTATTTCCATGAATATGCATTATGTCATGAAAAACACAGCGCATATAACGGCGGTAATGTCTGGATGAGTGCAGGCCAAAACATCCATCTGATATGTATCGTGTAAGAAACGGCGTTTTATCACCATCTGGAAATTAAATTATTTTGAAAAGGGCTCTAGTGGGCTCCCAATTTAGCTAGCTGGCATCATAGTGCCTTAAAATAAGCGCCGCCACTGAAATATTAATGTATGCCCATTTGGCCAGCAGTGTCAGTTTCGCGCCGATCGGCCTAGGTTCTCACTGTTCTGGATGGAGGCTGGGGGGGGGGGGGGGCGGGGGTTGATCGGGTTCCACATTCCGGCACGCTTCCTGGAACTGGTGAGCGCGTTTTTGGGATGTGTGATTCTGTTGCATATAGGGCGGATGTTGCCTTTCTGATTACATCGTGCTGTCATTAGTTGGCCTGGACGCAGAAGCTACGTGCAAAAGCTACGCTAAAGCTACGCATCTCTCTGTGTCTCGATGTGGACAGCATACATGACGTCTTGCTTGTACACTGCTACGACCCTTTTGGTAGCTGCTTCCTCAGCGCGCGGCATTTTGTAAAGATATCATTATCTGGTGTTGTGTTGTATCTCTGCATCATATTGGTATTCTATATATGCGGAACATATGCCCTAAAATTATTAGTTTGCTCAGTGTTGTAATCTTTCTGCATATGGACTTACATCTCTTTATATTCTTGATATTCTTGATATTCTTGATATTCGAGATATTCTTGCACGAACATATCCACTAATATTGATGGTGAGCTCAAAATGTCCCATGTCCGTATCACGCGTTCAATACTCAGCCAATTTCAAGCGTTAAAAGCGCCAATCGTGCCCAGAAAGCTGTCAAATTTTCAAGTTAACGTCAATCTTAGCTGGTTCAGCAATGTAGCTGTCCAATACAGTGGCAGAAAGTTAGGTGACATCTTCACTAGGAAGTCAGAGAAATGGGTCCAGAATATGCCTCAGTGGCCAAACAACATAATGGAAAGACATTTGCCTACAAGACATTAAGGCATCTCAAACCCGGTAAGCACGGCTTGCATTCCAACGCGCAGAACGCTTTAAGAAGCAAAATGTAACATTTGAGAAAACTGGATGGATATCATATGTCCGCGAAGAACACTAACGTCATCTGTAAAGTAAGTATTGATACAGGTAGCGCCACCCAGGGTAATGTCGCAACGCCTATGCAAAATGCCGTGAAATTCAAAACTAAGGCACTGAACTTGGTGTACAAGAGCAAGAGCACGCTTGGTGTACGACAGAAGACACGATTTACCGGATGCTGAAAGCATTTTAGCCGTCTGTATCTTTTCAAACTGCCCAAAAGCTGCCTCTGAAAAAGACCCTTCCTATGGGTTTGCAATTCTTTCAGTTCCCTCGGCGCCCCGTGATGACGTCACGGCAGGATTGACAGATAAACTTTGAGGAGGGCCGAGTTACATCAAAGACCATGACTGCTCTAACATCCAAAGTAGTCCTGTGAGGAATGAATTCAGCGCCAAGAATTGATTGTATCGCCTTAGTTGTACAGGGCTTAGACTGCAGAACAAATAAACAATGATTTGAGCCTGCTTACGTCACTTTTATCCTGCTCACATCAAGTGACGTGAACAAATGGTCAGTAACACAACTGACTATAAACAACGGCTCTGGAAGTGATGATATGCTTCATGGCATGCGATCTCTCCCTAACACTTGCAGCAGTCTGTGCGCCAGCGGCATGCACTTTGCCTGTTGCGGCTGCAGATTTTCGTTCGAAGTTCGCGGTAGTTGACATTGCAGTCTCATATAAGAAGTACGAAGATGATAACTCGGCTGCACGTACACAACCAGGTGAAAAAACGTATTCTATAGTGCATGCGTCATGTATGTAGCATATGTCAATATGATTGCCGTATAGAACACATGCCGCTTCTGTGAGTGGCATCCTCACAATGAGGACATGAGGACACAGCACATGTATTAATCAATAGAGGTGATTGCCGTTTTTCGTGATCATCTTTGACCTTTGACCCTCGACTTGGCCCTGAATTCGACCCCATTTGTGACAAATAATTGCAGAAATGGACTCCCTGCAGCAGGAAATATCTCAAAAATCGTGTTGAACAACACTCCAATCCATAGAGAAAACAACTTTGAAACCGGACACACACTCAGGATGGTGGCGGCCGCCATCTTGAATTCTGCGGTATGTTCGGTTATACAAGTAGCGCGTAAGCTAATTTGGGTCTCCAAGCTATATAGGACATATTTCCGTGAAAAGCGTTCGCGGTAGTCGACATTACAAGGTCTCATAAAAGAAGCGTAAGGACGGTAACTTGACTATTAACACTTCGCAGCGTTCTAATTCAACGAGATGAGTAACGCAACGCTTTATCACAATCAGTCAGTACGTTCCATGTACATACATCCCGAATGCGTTGCATGGGCCATGTCGGCATTGTCCTCTACGCCCTTCCCTGTGTGACTAAGCACTACTCCGTGCACCATTGGCACGTTCGTAAACAAAGGTTGCGGTTGATGATATCACCTTGTTGTTGCAAATGTCGCCAGACATCACAGGCTTGTTTGTTGACCTTTGGAGGGGATGGGATGATTGACGCCCCCTCCGCCTCATGGTCCGTTTTTGCTAGTATAAAAAGCGACCAAAGGCAGCATGGGCATATCCTGTCGAGTCGTCTCTCACCAACCATGCGTCTGCTACCATTAATCGTCGTGTTTTGTCTGGTGTTGGTGACCACTGAAGGTGAGTTTCCGGTGTTTCTCTTGGCAAAGTCCTCCTGTGTTGGTCGCTGCTCTTTAACAATGGAAGTGTCTAACAGACATGACAATAAAAAGGTCCGTAAGGAGACCGTGAAAATATTCTGTGTCAGCCGAGGCGTCGCAGCACCACACGAAGTGCTCTTGGTCCTCGTTCTGTAAAGGTGAAAAACTGTCGCAAAACCTGCTCCAAAAATGAAGACATTCAGGGGCTTTAAAGGGAGTGTGTGACCATCAAAGAAGATTTCAAAGTCACGCTGTGATGGACCCTTGGGACGGACTCAATGTAATGATTATATTTGTGCTTCGGGCAGCTAAGTACAAGTGTTCGTGTGTGGTACAACCATGGAAGTGCATACTTCATTGGAAGTTATTCCATCATACTGCATTGCCAAATTCCACCTTCATCACCGACTTTCCATGGTTGCCAAAGCAGATACCACTGGTAGGTGGGAACGGCAGGGACAGCATGTCCCCAAAAATAGCTGGTGGGCCTTCTGCCCCGCCGTCATATCTTCTGTATGACCTATGGTCTAGGCGTCTGCACAAGAAAAATTGTCAGCTTTAGGTCTCACTGCCTCACTTTTCTAGGTCCACTTTTCGTTGTTTGCCATGTTATGTCAGGTGAATGTGGTGTGCTGAT